GGAATCATGTATCGTGTGACCTTTTGACTAGCTTCTTTCACTTAGCATCATGTTTTTAAGATTTTCCATGTCATAGCGTGTATCACTATTTTATTCCTTTATATGGCTGAATAGTATTCTCTTGTGTGGATGTACCATGTTTTGTTTATCCATATGTCAGTTGATGGATATTTGGGTTGTTTCCACTTATTGTCTATTATAAATAATGCTACTGTTAACATTCATGTACAAATTTTTGTATGGACATATGTTTTCATTTCTTTTGGGCACATACCTAGGAGTAGAATTACTGAGCCATAAGGTTAACCGTGTGTTTAAGCTTTTGAGTAACTGCCAAACTGTTTTCCGAAGAGGCTGAACCATTTTACATTCCCACCAGCAGTGTATGAGGGTTCATCTTGTTTAATTTCTACCCCAGTCTTGGAATCAGTCATTTTCCCAGGGATTCTTGGTTCCTTTTAGTGGGAAACAGTATTGATTAACAATAACATCTACAACTGAGCGTTAGATGAACTCATTGCTATTGGGTTATTACTGCTACTTGGCATTAACCAACTACCTGCCTCAAGAAACAGCAGTTTTCAACTGCACATTACAATCACCTGGGGGAACTTAAAAGCCATTTATTAAATAGGAATCTCTGGGGGTGGAACTCAGCCCTCGACACATTTTGAAGTTCACTAGGTGATGCCAAAGTGTAGCTAAGATTGAGAATTGCTATTATAAAGCATTAGGTGACTCCCAGTCAGAGAGGTGGCTATAGTAGTAGGAATGGCTTATTTTGTTTATTAGGCTAAGATTTCATCTACTTAAATTAAGATAAATGAAAATAAAGCTGTATCATTGAAAATTATTTGGCAACTACTTTGAGGAACACTTTGGGAAAGTATTTGAATTAACTTATTCAAACATGTGTTATTAAACATTTTTAACAGAGACAAAGAATAGCACAGTGAGCCCCGCTGTGTCCATCACCTAGCTTCAACAGCCATCAATGAATGGCCAATCTTGTTTTAATTATACCCCACCAATTTACCCCTCAACTCCTGAGTATTTTAAGATAAACACCAGACATAATATTTCATCTGTAAATGTTTCAGTATGTGGCTCTAAGAGATTGGGATTGGAGCTTTGAAAGATTTATTTTAAACTTATGCTTAACATCATTATCACATGTAAAAATTTTAACAATATGAATTAATTTTTATGTTATCACACATAGGAAGATATGGTAAGAGAACAGAAGATATATTATAAATATTTGGCACAGAGACATGAGGAAGAAAAAGCTCAGGAGAAAGAATTGGACAGAATCTTAGAGGCAGAGAAGGAAAAGAAGTTGGCTGAGAAGGAGAAGGAGCTGAGACTTGAAAAGGAGGCAAGGCAACAACTCGTGAATGAAGTCATGTGTACAAGAAAACTTCAAGTTCAAGAAAAGTGTAAGAAATTGAATTAAGTTATCTCATAGTTTGCCCTTAATTCAACTTAAGTAGCAACCAAAATATTTACCAAGTAGGTATTATGTGTAAAACACTATGAGGGATGCCAAAAGGATGAAGGCAATGTCCTTGCTTTTGCAAATCTTATCTAACTGGATACATGTAAAGAGTTGCATATCCCAGCAGATTCTGAGCAGTCACCAGGGGGATGTGCTCAAGGTTAAAGGAACAGTATGTCGTTTGAATACTGTGTGCCTTGGCGATTACAAAGGGGAGTGAGAAGGTGGGGCGCAGACACACATCTCCCCCTCCTCCCTTTTACCAGTCCCTCTTTTTCTTTCCAAAGGTATTTCCATACCTCCATACCTTTGCTTATGTAGTTTTCTCAGCTTACGATGCTCTTGATCTCGAGAAATCCTAGACATCCTTCAAGGCCAGCTCAAATATCTCCCTCCTTGAGAGGCCCTCTGTGTTCTCCCGCTCAAAATAAATCCTCTTTCCGGGCCTTCACTATGGCTTGCTCACATCTCCAATGACCGACTGACCAGGAGGGTCTTTGGAGACCATTCTCAAAATTTGGGGAATCCTTCCCCTTTTTTATACCCGTATTCAGTCTGGGTCAGTTAGTAGGTATTTCTTTCATAAAGGGAGTTAAACTGTTCTTATAAGGGTAACCTTTGTTTTAAGGTTCCTGAAAGTTACATCTGTGTCGAGGTGACCTTGTCTCCTGGGAATCCCTGGACCAGGTTGTATCATACTGCTAAATGACACATAGAGGCTGGCAGTCCTGTGAGATGTTTAAGTGGACCTTATGGCTACTATTAATCTTTTAGCCACGACATGTCTCTCATACAACGCTACATCATTGTATCCCTTCAGTCTCGAGGAGTGCTTAGTCACAGAGGGACGTTTGTGTTGAGAGGGCAAACTGCCATCTATAGATTTCTGTCATTTCCACGTCTAGCCCAATGGACCAGAGAGGCAATAGATAGACACGTGTGCTATTAGGGTACCGTTAGATTTCACACTAATGGTCTTTGCAAGGGAAAGCTCATCCTGGTTCCATTGATGAAATTCTCCACTCCAGGAATTATAATAGCAGTAGAAAATTGTTAAGCCAGTATTAGATGGAATTTTTAGAAAATGAAAGGAAAGCTTATAAGCTGAAAAGATTTTTGCATCATCAGTGATAAATGTTTTAGAAAATATTGAGAAAACATGAAAAATTTAAGTATTTGGGACCATTTATAAACAAGGAAGCAAAATCAACCATAATTCCACACTTAGGAATAGCACTATTTACAACTTTGTATATTTCCTTCCAGTATTTTTACTGTGTATATACTTTCCCCTCATAAATTAGGATCATGTTGTATCTACTGTTTTATAGTCTGTATTTTTCACTTTCCAAAAAATTTTTCTAAGTCATTTTTCATCAATTATAAGATTTTTAATGGTTGCCTAGAAATCTATTGTAAAAATGGACCATAATTTATTTTACTTAAACACAACTAATGAACCTTCAGATTGTTTCTAATCTTTTTACTATTATTTTAGCATTCCAGGTTACTCTCACTGTACATAGGTTTTTTTGGCTCATATCTGGTTAAGATAAATTTCTGGTTAAGAAATAGATTTTGGGACCAAAGATATGTACATTTCAAATGTATATTGGCCAGTTGTATTTATTCTTTTGTAAATTCTGTTTGTTTCCTTTGTCTTTTCTTCTATTGGGATGCTTAAAATTTTATCATTTATAAGAGATCTCAGGCATTTGACACTGCAGTGAGCTGTGATCGTACTGCTGCACTCCAGCCTGGGCAATAGAGAGATGACACCTGTTTCTTAAAAAAAACAACAACAACACAACAAAAAACCCAAGACTTATAAGAGCTTTATATACTTTTAAAAATATTTATTTTATAAAAAACTCTCTTATTAATAAGAATGTCAATAGAACTGTTTGTCTTCAAGAAGAGAAAAGCGAGAAGTGTTTTAACATTGATAATCTGGTATGAAATAGATTCTCAATGAAAAATGATTAAGAGAAAATCTGTGGCGATGGTGGTATATATGAGCCCTATTCATTTCTCAATGGAGTTAGCTACCTCTACCTTACTGATTTAGGATTCAGCCCAGTGATTCTAAGCTCTAGTTTTCTAAAGACAAAATGGCTTTGGTGTCCAGAAAGATGTTGGCCAGTTTTGTCTGAAAAAGACATTTGACAAATAATTACTTTTACTTTTCTTAGTGCAACGAAAAGCTAAAGAACAGGAAGAACTTGCTATGGAACAGGAACGCATAAATGAAGGTCTTAAAGAGCTTAACTGTGAAGAGAAGGAGAATTTTGCAAGGTATGATTTTGTTTCCTTTATTATCATTTGCTCCTTAACAACAAATTTTTCAACATAGAGGAGGGACAACATGCCATAATTCATGGATTACTGATGTTATTTTACATCAGTATACACTTGTCCTTCTAGAAGCTCAAAGCAGTTTACAAAATTTTATGTAAAAATAGGTACTGGCTGGGTGCAGTGGCTCACGCCTATAATTCTAGCACTCTGGGAGGCTGAGGTGTGAGGATCATTTGAGGTTAGAAGTTTGAGACTGGCCTGAGCAAGAGTGATACCGCTTCTCTACAAAAATTAGAAAAATTAGCTGGGCATGGTGGCACACCCCTGTAGTCCCAGCTACTTGGGAGGCTGAGGCAGGAGGATCACTTGAGCCCAGGAGTTTGAGGTTGCAGTGAGCTATGATGGCGCCACTGCATTCTAGCTGGGGCAACAGAGTAAGGCTCTATCTAAAAAAAAAAAAAACAAAATTGGTACCAATAGTCTTGGTAAATTCTATTGCCATTATGTACATTCTGATTATACACATTAGGTGTTAAGCTGGATGAACATTTTTAAAAATGAAGTAAATTTGAAATAATTAAAAAAAATTGGTACCAACCCTAAATCCTAATGATATTTCATTATAACAAGAAGATTATCCCTCCCATGAAGTAAATCCTGAAATGCGGGGTGGCCTAATGAACTAGATTAGCAGAAATGTCTTTTTGGGGACAGGATTCCACACAAATGTCCCCAGGAGGATTATTTCAGCCTCACTGGGATAGAAAATTAAAATGCTCTGGGTGCTTTGGGAAATACCCCTACTCTCCTCTGACAAGCCTCTATGCTGGGATTAGCTAGTGTCCTGATCAGCACAGTCAGGCTCAGGTGGAGGGAGCAGGCAGCTGCCTCCTTGCAGCTTTTCTCAGACCATAATAGTCCGTTCGCATTAATGGCCAGGATACTGAATTCAGGCAGCCAGTGTAGTGGAGGAAGAAGACCTGGCTCCTCCGATTACTGGTCACCCTCCTTGACCCCAGGGCCTGTCCCCTGACTCACCCACACTTGGTATATAGAAATAAGCTCTTTTCTTTCTAAAAAGAGTATAGTTAATGTGCCTGAGTCTATTGTCAATTTAGGGACAGTAACAACAATATCTGTCCTCCCTTACTGACTTTTTGCCACTGTCTCTGCTCTGGAGGTCTTTCCTTCTCATTTTTGAATAGTCTATTGTTGGAAATTTGACAGGACTCAATAAATACCACCTCTCTTCCCTGAAGAACATCTGAATCAACTGAGAGATGTGAAAAAAGTGGGAGCATAAGATATGACAGTTACCTATTGCTGCATAATAAACACCCAAAAATTTGTGGTTTAAAGCAGTTTATGATTATCTCATGATCCTGTGGGTTGACATGGCTGAGCGAGGCGGTTCTCGTTTGAGGTATCTCATGTGGTTGAAGTCAGAATCACATGACTGAGGTTATATTCATCTGAAGGCTCGCCGGGAATTCCCCAGCCGACTGGGCCAAAAACAGGGCATCCCGCAGGAATAAGAAACAAAACAATAGAAGAGAAAGAGTGGGGTCAGGGGACTCAAGGCTTTCCAGACCAAGAGTCCCGAGAGTAATTCCTCACTCGTATTTATTCACCCCAAGAACAAAAAGATCATCGTAAATCATCCAAACAAACATGTTCTAAAGACATCCCACAGGCAAACAATGTTCTATAGATTTCCATAAAGATTATATATCCTAAAGATATCCCACAGGCAGACTTGAAAGATTATTTATAAAGATTAAGATATTCAGGTGCACAATAGTCTCAGCAAAGCTATTTCTAGCCTAAAGTTAAACAAGAACATCAATTTGGGATTGCGGCCAGGCTAGTTTTCCAGCAGGTTGGGTGTTCCTGATTGCAGTCTGGGAGCAGTTTTCCGCCTCCGGAGACAAACTGTTTTCAGTTCCTCCTGCCCTAGGAATGTCCTTACCATTTGGAAAACAGCCACACCTATGCAGACTGTCACATCCGCAGAGGTTCTTATGCCAGCAATATCCCTAGGTCACCCTAACATTTCTAAACTACCTCAACAAAGGCTCAACTGGGGTAGACACCTAAGTTACCTATATAGCTGGCAGTATGTGCTGACTATAGTCTGGGATCTCAGTTACCAACTAGCAGTTGCAGTTATCCCCTGGAACACCTACATATGGGCTCTCCATGTGGTTTGGACCTTTCACAGTCTGGTTGGTGGTTTGCTCTGAGAGGGAAAGTTCCAACAGCAAGTGTTCCAGGAGAGAGGAAGAGGAAGCTGCCAGGCAGTTGAGAGCTACACCTAGGACTGGCATAGCATCACTTCTGCCATGTTCTATTGGTCTTTAAAGCAGTCACAGGGCTCGTCAGATTCAAGGGGATGGAGAAACAAGCTTCATCTTTTGATGGGGAGTAGAGGTTCACATTGGCGAAGAGCTAATGGGCAGGGAGATAGTACTGTGGCCGTCTTTGGGAAATAGAATCTGCCACAGAGGGCTATCCAAACCACTATCTTTATTTCTGATAAAAGTTGACGGGGTATTTTCTGACACCAACAACCAATTCTCTGATTCTCCAGACTTCAACTTGTATCCAGCAATTCAGTTCAATTCTGATACCAACTACCCGGAGTTGGGGCTGACCCCACAGGTTAAGGGCTTAGTCCCACCGGCTACCCCCACTTCAGACACCGGATGCAAGTCCCAGCCACCTGACCAACCAGCTGCAAATTGGGGGTTCCCACAACCTCCTCCTAAGATTCAATAGTTTGCTAGAGCTGCTTCTAGAACTCAGAAACACATTTTACTTATGTTTACCTGTTTATCATAAGGGATCAACTCAGGAGCAGCCCAATGGAAGAGAAGCATGGGGGCTGCCGTGCCCCTTTGGGTGCACCCTCCTCCCAGCACCTCGATGCGCTCACTCTCCCAGGAGCTCTCAGAACACCGTTGTTTAAGAGTTTTCATGGAGTTCAATCTCCAGCGCCCACCCTCCCCTTCCCAGAGGTCGGTGGGTAGGGCTGAAAGTTCCAACCCGCTAATCACTCTGACTTTCTAGTGACCGATCCCCTTCTGAAGCTACAGAAGGCTCAAGGGGAAGGCTCATCCTGAGTCACCTCAGGAGCATAAATTCAGGTGTTCTTGTGAATGACAATAGATACTCCTGTCACGCAGGAAATACTAAGGGTTTTAGGAGCTCTGTGCCAGGAACTTGGGACAAAGACCAAATATAATTCTTACTATACCACAGCTGATAGTAAAAATGTGGTTTAGAAATTGTAAAATGGTACAATCTTTATGGAAAACAGTATGGAGTTTCCTCAAAAAAATTAAAAATAGAACTACCATATTATCCAGCAATCCCACTTCTTGATATATATCCAAAAAATTGAAAGCAGGGTCTCGAAGAGATATTCGCACACCCCTGTTCATAGCAGCACTGTTTACCGTATCCAAGAGGTATCAAATGTCTATCGATGAGTGAATGGGTAAACAAAATGTGGTATATATGTACAATGGAATTTTATTCAGCCTTATAAAGGAAGGAAATCCTGTCACGTGCTACAATATAAATGAACCTTGATGACATTGTGCTAAGTGAAGTGAATCAGTCACAAAAAAGACAAATACTGTTATGATTCTACTTTTATGAGATATCTAAAGTAGTCACATTCATAGAAACACAAAGTAAAATGGTAGTTACCAGGGAGGGGGGCCAGGGAGGAAAGAGGGGAGCTGGTGTTTAGTGGGTATAGAGTTTCAGATTTGCAAGATGAAAAAGTTCTGGAGATCTCTTTCACAACGATACGGATACACTTAACTACTGATCTGTACACTTAAAAATGGTCAAGATGGTAAATGTTGTATATGTGTTTTTTATCACAATAAAAAATTACACTAGGAATCCAAAAAATGTGTCTTATATATTAAAAATATCGCTTATATATATAAGAGATTGTTTAGTTAGTACTGAACGGCATGTTAGAGTGAGGCTAACTTATTTCCCCGAGTCCCCAGCAGCGCCAGACCACTGCAGGCCTTTTGATCTAGAGCGGAGCAGGAAACAGGCAGACCAGCCTCCAGGAGGAAAAGGGAAAAACTACACGGAGCAGCCTGCTTATTCTCTGCACTTTTACCAATAGATACGTCACTTCTCTTTGGAGAAGAGGGAGGGAGGAGATGGAGACAGGCCAAGGACTCCCTCCACATAGCCCATAATCTCTTGAGCAGGGAAGCATTCCCTCTCTAAAATCAATGTTTATTCTGGGATTATATTAATGATAATTGTGTAAGAAACCCGTTACTGAGTTTTTAATCTATTTCTTCCCCATGTACCCTGATTTTAATGGGAATTTTAATTTGGCTTCGCAAATTATATTCTAATTGTAATGCTCTAAGTAAATCCAAATGCTTTTATAATTTTATGCTTTGACATTTCTAATATTTTAGACGCCAAGATTTAGCCCAGGAGTATAGGAAGCAACTCGAGATGCAAATAGCCCACCAGCAGCAGGCCCGAGAAGCAGAGAAGGAAGAGAAACGCCGGGAGTTTGAAGCAGGGTTAGCAGCAAACCAGATTTGCCTGGACAAGATCCAGGAGATCCTGTCCACCCAGCGAGTGCTGCCCCAGAACGTCCATCCCATGCGGAGAGCGTGCCCTAATCAGCTTCCACCATAGGTTCACGAACGTCAACGTATCTTTTCTCGGTCTTTTCATATTCTTAACCACAGTTAAAGATGTGGTTAAAAAAGGAACATGCTTGTATGTTCCTTTTAACTCATGGGTAAACTGTTCTTTTTTTCTTTGAGTTTGTATAATTAGTTGTACATAATTTTCTTCCCTCAAATAAACTTGTCCCTTTTTTGGATTTCATGGACGCACAAATCCAAATGATGTACTTCACGTCAGTTATTTTCCTGACTTGCCCCCTACGCCTGCCTTTCTTATTCCTTTATTGACAGCTATTTTCTGACATCTATCTACACATGAGCCCGTTTCCTCTTCCCTCCTTTTTCTTCTCTCTCATGTACATAATTCAAGGCATTTTTGCAGGCAGAACGGGGACTAACCGCCACTTTCATTAACCCATCTATTCAGTCATTAAATAAATATTTACTGGGTGTTTCCCATGTGCCAGGCCCTATTCTAGATCCTGAGACTTCAGCAAGAACAAAACAAACCTCTTGCGCTTGTGGAGCTTACAGCCCAGCAGATGGAAACAGGCAGTAAGTGTTAAGTGCTATAAAGCAGGAAATGGCAGGTGCACCGCTTTATTCTGTATGTGATGGTCAGAAAAGGCCTCTCTAAACAGCTGATATTTGAAGGGAGGTCTCCATGAACCAGTCATGGGTTATGTGGGGGAAAAACATCCCAGGCAGAGGAAAGAGTGAGTGCAAGAGCCCTGGGACAGAAGCCTGCTGAATGCATTTGAGGCATTGTATTGATATTTGTACTGGAGTAGAGTGAGTGAGGAGAGAATGGAAGATTGATCAGAAAGGTAGTGGAGGGCTGGGTGTGGTGGCTCACACCTGTAATCCTAGCACTCTGGGAGGCCAAGGTGGGAGAATTGCTTGAGGTCAGGAGTTCAAGACCAACCTGAGCAAGAGCGAGACTCCGTCTTTACTAAAAATAGAAAAATTAGCTGGGTGTCATTGTCATGGCACACACCTGTACTCCCAACTACTCGGGAGGCTGAGGCAGGAGGATGCCTTGAGCCCAGAAGTTTGAAGTTGCAGTGAGCTATGATGATGCCACTGCA